TATTAGTAAGCCCGAGAGGGCTAACGACTAGAGGGGCGCTGGTTGCGTGACGAGCCCAAGGGCGCCTGGCAGGGTGCAGAGGGGAAAGGGACCAGATAACATCCAGAAAAGCTGCGAGGCTTGGGGCGTGCTAAAGGGGAGGTAGGAGGCACACATAGCCCTTAAGGCTGGGGTGTACCAGGTCACCCCATAGAGAGTAGGAGCCCGGATAGTTATAGCACTGTGTCCAGGTGGACTAAAGGCAGCCTCCTATATAAAACTATAAACCAACAAGACGTGGCGGGCGAGAATAGAGGGTGCTGGATCGCCTACTTGACACGGCAGGGGGCGCTAGCGGGATCACGGCCACCCCTGCGCCCTACTCCGTGGCAGGTGGGAGATCTCAAAACTCCACGATCTAGTAACATAATTAATCAAATGAACTGGCATGCATGCCTACCTAAAATGCATATTAACTAAATACAATTATAATCTAAACAATGAACCCTTCATTAAAAGGAGGAGTCTGTATTAATCTCCATCAGAGGAGAGAAAATCATATATTTTCAATTATTTTTCTTTTATCCATACCATAAAACTGAGTAATTTAAATATCTTTGCTTTTTCTAAGGTGCAGTGGAATTGTTTCCTTTCAAAGACAATGGAATAATGAATATTTGATTGGTTAAAGTGACTTCTTTTTGGGGGGTGCATCCTCTGAAGTTATCTCTTTAAGGCACTAGGAAGGATGAAAAAAAGAAAAGAAATCATAAAAGCTTAGAAATTGTGGCAAATTAGCCTGCTGCTCCTATGTAGCCTGCATAACTATTTTATGACTTAGAAACCCAAGTGAAGCTGTGTCAGCATTTTGGATGCAAATCAAATATATAAAACAAGATATTTGTAAAAAGACACATTAGAGATGGAACATAACATTCAAGCATCATTTAGATAGGAAATCTCTTTTGGATTGTGCAGTAGGCAAATGTGAGTTTTAACTTTATCACTGAATCCTCTTTGCTACGGTTTTACAGATTAGACTACCTTTTTCCAAACCACAATAATTCAAATATTATAAAAGCCTTTGTCTGTCTGTCTGCCCATAACACTTTATTTGCACTCTGATTGGCTATCTTGGCAGCCAATCAGAGTGCTCTACACACAGACACAGATGGTGAAGCTCCGCTAAGACAGTGGGAACTGAGGGACCAGACAGAAGGGAGGTGAGGGGGGAAGGCGGGGACCGGAGCACTACCATAACTGGGGGGACTGGAGTGCTGATCTTGGCCCCTGCCCAAAGCAGGGTGGGGAGTGGAGAGAAGGAGAGGGAATGGCCCAGGCCTGGCCTGAAGTGGTGGGGGGAGGTGGGGAATGGCCCAGACCCTGGCCCCAGCCCAAAGCAGCGGGGGGGGAGGCAGGGAGCGGCCCTGGCCCTGGCCCAAAAGAGAGGGAAGGGGAGGAGAGGGGAGGTGAATGGCTCCGACCCCAGTCCCAGCCTGGAGAGGCAGGGAGCAGCCCCGGCCGTGGCCCAGAGTGGCAGGGGGGAGGTGGGGAGTGGACCTGGCCCTGGCCTGAGACAGGGAGGGGGAGCCAGACGCAGGCCTCTGTCCCTGCCCCCCCTCCCTGTCATTCTTGATGGGCAATTTGCTAGTAAGTTATAACACTTTATGGCTTTTAACTTTATTTCTTTGTGTAAAATAATTTTCATCCAAATGAAACTATTTAAAAAATACATTCTACTAAGCATTTATAATTTTTTTTTACGGAATTGTACATAAAGTGTTGTTAATTCATTACTAGAACAAAAATTGGATTTGATTTTGATCAGGATATATAGACCTTCTGGGAAAAACCATCATAGCCCTAGTGAAGTTAATGAGTTTATGTTGATTTATACCAGTTAAGCATCTGGCCAGCTCTTTCTTCAAACAATTTGTTATGATAAAATATAAGAGTAGGGTATGAACATCTTTCCTTTAAAAATATTGTATACAATAAAATAGCCCTACTTGGAAACTAATGTAATATACTCTGATGATAATTCAATGGAGGTAGCCAAATATTCAAGTGATGGACTGAGAATTACCCATCCTGAATTATTTTTAGGAGCTAGGGCCCTAAATTGTTCGTTGACATTGGTTAAGAGTCAGGCATTTTTGTCTTTTAATTCCAGTCCTTGTGTTTCCCTTGAGCAAACAACTTCATTTCTATGCATTTTGGTTTCCTCTCATAGGAAAACTACTCTTGATGTAAATGGTTCCTGTTAAGGTCTCAACTCAGCATATACTTTAGTGCCTTTTTTAAAAAATAAATAATAATATGTTCTGCTGCATAAGGATGACTAGCTCACTCAGGCCCTTAAAAAAAAATATCAACGTTTAGCAAATCATCAAGTCATTGCTCATGGTATCTGAAACACTGCAGTAATTTCCTACATCTAGAATGAGTATAGGATATCAAGTATAGTAAAGATGGTTTAACTGCATATTAATTTATAGACATAAGTTGCGTGTCTACACTGCAGTCACTACCATGATCACATCTTGTATAGGAAAACTTAAGCTAACTTTAAACTAGGTTGACTACTGCTAGAAACGTAACTGCAGCAACATCGAACTTTATATATGCTGCACAATGTAACCAAAAAGCTAGGTAACTACTTATGCTGCTGTGACTAAATTGCAATCAGTGCCTGAGCTAGTTTCCCCCCTCTTGGGCTATGGTTCCAACACGTACAAACATTCAGCTAGATCAAGCACGGAGTAGCCTGATCTACAAAGTATGCCTCCTTAAGTGAACTCAGATTGGACTGGGCATTTTTTGCCCAATCTAAACTCCCTGAATATATGCACCATTCAGCACTTAAATGGACCTAACTCTACCCCTGAATTGAAGCAAGGACAGAACCTAATCTTCAGCTCACTCACCCTCTCTTTCCTGCTTAGGCAAAAGCAGCCTATTCAGCTGTGAGGGGGTCAAAACTTTAGTCATTCTGCTTTCTCCAAAACAAGCTGCATTTCTTATTTGGGGTTGTGTGGCATACGAAAAAATAGAGTACCTATTTTGCCCCTTCCTCTTTTTTTTGCAAGCATGAGGCATATTTTTGAAAAAGTAGATTTGCTATTAAGAGACACCAAGAGGTGTTGACTAGAGCCAGTTAGAACATTTTCACAGCAACATATCAAGTTTCTAAAAACTAGCATTGAGGCAGGAGGTGGAAGGAAAAGAGAGAGACTCCACAGCTCAGTAGATAGACTGAAATATGGGAAATATACCTGCCTAATTTGGAGTTAGCAGGAATGAAAGACACGTTTTCAATTCAGAGAGAGAATGGAGTTGAACCTCAGTCCCTCACGCTCTAGGCTGATACCTTAACAATTAGGAAACATTACCGCATGCACACACACAAATTCAATTTTTGTGAAAACCTTCCAAAGATTTGGTTTTGTTCTCATCTGGCGCACAAAATGTTTGAAATGTCATAACTTGCTGAAAAATGGAATTGCCATGTTCTAGTCAAGCTCCAAGTGAGACGCACATACTAGGCTGCCGAACTGCATCTGCCGAGAATTCGTAGAATCTCCCGTGCTTTGAATATTTGGAATTAGACTACAAAAAAAAAATTAGAATGCTAGAAAATGTTTGGTATGTGCAAGGAAAGGTATATTGACAAGATGAGCAAGATGATCCAGGTGAGCTTTTCTATCTTTCAATATAATTATCTGAAAACAAAGACAAGAGAGAATCATGGACTGAATTATACTGCAGCATGGTATCAAGTAAAATGGCTGTTTAACTAAGGAATACAACAAAAGTTCACTGTATGGGATTATTGGCATGCTCACTTTATAGGAGTATTAGCAAGAAGTAGCTTTATTTCATTTATCATGGGATTCATTTTGTGCTGATTTACTTCTTATACAGTGTCCTGTTTGGAAATAGAGTTGTAGATGGCATAAGTCACAATGTAATTTAGACCCAAATATTTGGGTGGCATTTGAAAAAGGCAATCTATCAAACATTAGAGAACAGTAGACCCAACAGACAACTATTTATCAAACATTATTGAGCATGAACCATGTTTTATCTTAAAATTAATTTGTTTTTACTGATTCTTTCATAACTTATAGTTGCAGATTGCTGAAATAACTTAAAAATGGCTGCTCAGGAGATAGTTAGTGAGGAGTTAAAGCTCAAGAGCATTGGCAAAATGGGGGTCCAGGTAGGGTGGCCATTCCTCAAGAGAGTGATCCTACGGGCGCAGAAGGAGACACTCCCATTGCATATAAAAGGGGGCAAAGGGGCCAAGAAGCCCTCTTGCCTGAACAGGGAAGTCCAGGAAAGCCTAAGGGCAAAGAAAGGGGTATACAGGCTATGGAAACGGGGTAGCTACCAAGGAGGAGTATACCTCCCTGGTTCGCACTTGCAGGGAATCAATTAGGAAGGCCAAAACAGGATTAGAACTTAGGCTGGCGACAAAAATTAAGGACAACAAAAAGTCCTTCTTCAGGTATACAGGGAGCAAAAAGAAGGCATGGGATATCATAGGACCCCTACAGGACAAACTAGGGCAATTGGAGACAGAGAGTGGGAACAAAGCTGAGATCTTCAATGAGTTCTTTGCATCTGTGTTCCTAGACACAGAC